GGTCGCGAGATCGAGATGGAATGTTTTTTTTCCATAATGGTAATATTGTAGCTCATTTATATTAAATAGCAATCCTAACAATGACCGTGGGCGAAAGTATTTACAACAATTTATTCTACATTTATGATAAAAGTTTTTGAGTTTATCAAGACGATAAATGTTTTAGCAACAACCTATGAAACGGTCATAATGCGAGAGCGTGATCTTGTTTTAGAGATTATATCATTGAATCTTTAGTTTGTGGTTGCTCCGTATAAATTGTTCGTCTAAACGCTATCATCACACACACCGAAGTTTGCAACGTTTCTCAAATTTTGATTGAATTTCAAGTGAATATTTTTCATGATTACAATCAACAAACGGTAAAAAAGACAACCAATTTCTGGCGAAATTTGGATCGGATATATGTAAGACCACCACCACACTGATATTGCTTTAGCTGGAAATTAGCTAATAATGGAATCATTATGTGTGTATGTACGTGCCACAAAAGAAGCACGAATATGTAGAAGAATAATTACACATCGCCAATTTGCAGGGAGGTGGGCAGTGGACGTGGACAGGTGTAATAAGATGAACATATGTGGAAGATGTGTCGTATAGCATGATGAATAAAAGCTAACGTCCATGCGTGGATGCCACAGGAAACAACTGTGGTTTAAGTTTAATGGTCTTCACATAATTGGCAAACTTTGCTTACTTGGCTCTGGAACTTTGAATTGAAGAAGAAAGAAGCTCAACGAGTTTTATGCGCACAATACTCACCTAAACATTTGCGATTTTTCGAGATTTTTTGTAAGCAGTGAAATCATCAAGATGATACAAATCAAGAATTAAGTTTACCAAAGTGCAATATCCGACCTGAACGAGGGAGAGCTTATGATTGGAAAACTTGACCTTCTCAGGTGAATTAGAGGTGACTGATAGGTTTGCTGCACAAAATTGTGCAGGTATTACATAAACCAACCCAAACCAATTGTAGTGTCCAAGGATAGTGAAACAAACAAGAACTCCTGCAACCTATGCATTCTGGTCAACTTGGGCAAAGGGTCGCTTATTCTGGTGTTAGTTGTTCGTGACATTATTATCGCATTAAGTAAAGTTTAGGTCATTAGTCTTTCGTTTATTTCGTAACTTAAAATTCCTAAAACTTCATATATGTACATATGCTTGAGGAGACTACAAGGAGCCGAAGCTAAATTAGCAATGCCCTCATCTTATCATCGTCGTATAGTTTGCTCCAAATGATGAGTCAAATAATTCATTTCGCAAATATATAAATTTTATATGTATATCCAAAGAAGTTAAGTAACTGACCAATCTGGTCCATACTACTAAGTGTTGTTGCCTGGTTTGTTTTCAAGTTGTTCTGTAGAAACATTTTGGTCAGTAGTTGAGTCTAATTGAATTGATGGACAACTTTGTCGCATGCATTCTCTTGCTGCATATTTATGTAGATGAATAACTAACTTTGTTGAACTAAAGCCTCGTGTAATCAATCAATAAGTTGATGGCAATGGTACAAGTTGATGCACTGTTCGAAGGCAAGTAATTTTCAGGTTTTCTACTTGTTGAAATGCAAGTGAATTGCTGTTGTTAACTTCAACCCGACCATTAAATTTATTAAGAAGTGGTAGTAAGCGTTCTGATGAAAGGGAAATTGCACACTCCGCATCAAAGTAATCTTGGTTATCCTCTCATAATACGAAAAATATACGTGTTTTCTTTCTTAGCTTCACAATCCCGGTTTTTACCATTTGCATCTTGTATAATACCTTTGCTGATAATATATGATGTGGGATTGTGTATGTATAGCTGGGTAGCTCACAGCGTCTTTCGTCCACCTCCTCTGTTTTGTATTGTAAGAAAAGTTGGGAAGGTTTTTTACCTCAGAATCAAATGGTGTATATTTTAATTTGGTATATGTTTTAACGTGTGACGCTATAGTTATACAACATTTTTGACGTACTACCACAGTACCCCACCATGCTTTCCGTTTAACTTGCACATAATATTGCATGGAAATATTTCTTATTTGCACTGCGTAAATAGCATAAACATCAAATTTTGTTGTTTGCACGAGTTATGCATAGTTCAAGATCGGTGAATGTCAATAAGTTTTGCGAGTTATATAAAAGCTTTAAAATGTAGCCAGTGGTGCAAGGACCTAGTGGTAAATTCAGACCATCGAACGACGAGCTCATTTGTATGAATGTACTTAGCTTTGGATTTGGCTGCTTTTTCTCAGCTCAACTTCAACACTCAAACAAATCTAGAGTTGTGCATCAAGTGAGCTTGGGGCATTAACATTTGGAGATGAATATGGATGTGACTCAAGTGGGTATGGTTTCTCGTCATGATGGAGAAGTTGGTGTACTCGAGGAATACTTGCTTTAGATTATCAGGCCGGATAAAGAGATGCTTTTCACAGGCATCACATGGTAAAAACAAGCTGGGTTGCAACTTGCAAAATTGGGGTTATTTGCATTTATTAGCAGTGAGTCGTAGTTTGGGTAATTCATGTTGTGCAGCAGTGCGTTGTATGCTTACGTGAAGAGCTACACAATCCTCGAAGGAGATCGGATGAGATGAGATCACCAGAGTCCGGGTTCATTAGTATTATTATATTATCCCATGTTCGGCTATAGAGTGGGTGTGGCGGGCGCAAATGTGGCCATGGCATTAAACCACTTCGGGGTTCTTGTTCATTCATGGGACACTACAAAATATCCAAAGGGCATCTAGATCCGAGAGTTGGTAGTACACAACCTCCCCTCCTGAGTTGCATAATTTGCTGTCGTTTCCCTTGTTTCATGTCAATTCAGTCCAGCATTTTTAGTTACTCTTATTTAGTTCTCGAGTCATTTGAATGAGTTTAAAAAAATATTTTCATCCTGACATTAATCAAGACTGAGCTAATTGTCATTCACGTGTCGTATTAGAAATGTGCATGAAATTTCGTCTCTAAAGTGATAATTTCCAACTACGTCATCCCCATCATGTAACGAGACGAAAACTGTTTTGAATTTATTTATGAAAACAACCGAAAGCCACAATCCGGAATTTTGGAGTCTGCAAGTCCATTAAAGAAAAAAATGTAATGTATTAGTTGCGTACTTTTAGTTTGTCGCTATTGGTGTTGACAGGTGTAGTTTTCAACTACCTATAGTTAGCAATTGAGGATAAATACTCATTTCGACGAGTACTGTGCATGACGATGGGTATGTATGAATAAGTAATATTAACAAGTACATAGGAAAACTTGAGATTTTGGTGGGTGGATGAATGGGAGACGCTCTATTCCTATCATATCGCGTACATACATACCTATTTAAGTACATGCATATGCACCGAAATACACAATAATCCAAAACCATGCGAAAGGATGTTGGTGTCGACAGCAACATCATCCACAGCGTATTAAATTGAATCCAAGTGCAATCACCTGGCTCAGTGTCCATGAATTTGCTGTCGGATTTGAATTGAACATTTTTGGACATTTGGTTGGACGTTGAATGACTTGCACTGACAGTCGTGCTATTAAATAGGTGCTGCTGCTATATGCGCCTCAGCGCTATTTGTCGATGGATGGATGCAAGTTATGCATTGTTGTAGTTAAAAGCCAACTCACTTCTGCGAAACCAACTGCGAATTTACTCTACCCTAAAAGCAAACCAACGCAAATGCTGTGAAATTCCATGCTGTGCCATAAGCTGAGTTTGCTCACATTTCTTGAACACGTAACATCATCGTGCATCTAACCTGAATCTGCTGTGAAAAGACGGAGCCAATTGTAAGCTTTGTTAGTCAAGCTATTATTGTACGTATCTAATTTAAGGAAAACGAACTTGTCTTGGTTGAGTTAAGCGAGCAGGATATCTGTCCGTACGATAAGGTTTGTTAGAATTGCCGGTTTTTGCAACTTTTTTTTACTCTCAGTTTCTTTGGTGGAAATCAGGTTTTGTAATTTGCACTTGCATGTGCGCACTAGTTTAGATACGTACATAGGTAAAGCAAAAAGAGGATGGGTGTTGACAGGAAAGGCAGATATCATTCTGAAAATATATCCTCCTTGTATGCTTAATGTTATATAGCTGTGATTTTTTAGTGAATAGTCATGTAATTTATTATGATGTTTCGATCTATTATTTTGGCATTGCATCGACAATTACGTAGTTATATGCAATACGATATAGTCAATTTTTATTTTAGTTGTGAATACACATTTATTCCCATTTATTTTTCTTGTGAAAATATATTTTAGTCATTACAAACAATATCCACGTTTGTCACTTTAACGAAAGTCCGTATCCTGATAAATTTGCAGCTTGTTTCTGCAGAAGCTGTGGCTGAGGCTGGAATCCGGTCGTACAATATGTAACGTTGGATAACACATGATAAATACTGCGTGATTATTTTGCACATGTTTGATTATTAAATCGCTGAATCATTCAACCCTGGTATACATACATCGTGTGACTCATATACGTAGCTCATCCCTTGCCGATAATTGATGCTATTTCTGGATTACCAATAAATGCGCATAACGTATGCACAAGGCATTTTGTTTGTTTCACTCATTTTTTGCAGTTATAGCTTATCTTAGATTTACTACGTGTAATCATAATCAATGCATCTAAATATTAATCGCTGTAAACAAACTCAAGATTGATAAATCATGCGTTCAGAGATAGTCGCAGCTTCTGTCGCTTAAGACGTTGTAGAAAAAAAAGTGTCCAATCTGAGTTTGACAGACCCTGACGGGTGACCTAACTTATGTGACCTGATGAAGGTAAATATGTATGCATGGCCGTTACCTCAAATGCAACAAATTATGCTGATCAAAAATTATATTAAAACGAGGTTATGAACTCCAAATCATCATCAATATCATGTGGTTATTGCATACTTTGTGCAAAAATGAATGGACTATGCACAGTAGTAAATAATCATGGTGTCGAGGCGCTGCCTGCCCATGAGCCCTACATGAAACCATCTACTTGACATTTGACAAAGAGTTTTTATTTAACTTTAATTTGAAATTTCTTGCACTTTGAATGAAGCAGTTTTTGTGCATGTGTGGGAGATAGCTGTGATCTTGAGCAGAGGGAATGAAGCTCTTGTTCCAACTGAATATCACGTCCTGATGGTGTGGGTGCTTTGCCCAGAATCTCATCATCTGTTTTATTATTTCGATCTCGACCATTTGCCAGTTATTTACTTGTCCTCGTTCGTTCCTCCAGCTAAAAACATCAGGCGACTGCCGTCTGGAAGTAAGAGTGAGAACAAAGTCTGTTAATTGATGATAAAAATGAGAGGATTTTTTTTATCTACGTACTTGCACATATATATTACAGTAAGCTGAATGCTGCACTAGAAGCTAATCATTGTATAACCACGATTCATGTGGCATAGCAAAACGATTCGGTTTGTTGGATATCTGCTGTCTAATTCTCCGCCCTTCCGTGTTCCTGACTTGGGCTTTGATAAGCCATGCAAATACAGATGCGGAGTTCATTAATACGGTGGTGGTGTAAAATTGTATGTTGAACGCATTGGGTAAATCGTGTTAATATGTATTAGCATACCGTATTGGTACCGTTCTTAGGATTATTGGTTCCCTACTACGTAATAAGCACCAGCTCTTCTGGAAAATATATCACAAACTTAATGCGGATGTACTCAAAATAGCAATCAACATTTATAGCAGGGAGATATATTTCCTGGCATGATAATCGATTTGTTACAACGTTATTGAATTTTTGTCAGGATGTTCTTATTCCCCCAACAATGTATCGACACACGTACGTGCATAACTTGATAAGCTTGTACGCAGGCAAAGTGCATTCGTCTGACAATGAGTCTGGTCGATAAAGAAACGGTACTTATTTGCTCCGAAATTAGATTAATTGCTCATAAAATCAATTAGAAAGACTGCCAATATGTCTGCTTGTCCATGCGATGTGATTCTTAAATTACATAATTTTCTGCAATTGTGATTTATTACCCTATAATTTATGAAAACGACCTGCGACCTCACATTTTTATGGTTGAGGTCATCGTCACGTTCACATTTGTTGATGATTTCTCGTCGCTATAATAGTTATTGATGAATTGACTATATCATGTCCTCTCGAATTGAATAAATGGTCTGCTTGTATGTAGTTGGTGCTGGCTAAGTAAAAATTAAGGACATTCACCAACAACCCCGCAGTTGTTAGGTTTTGTAGTCTCTGGTTTATGTTGCTCATGTTGTGCAGTTGGATAATCATAATTTAACTCTTGTATGTATCAAGTTATATTGATATCCTTCAGCTAAAATGAGTTCAACTAAACGCCCATTATGATTTGGACAGTAATTTGTTTGTATTGAGGAAATACGAAGCTCAAGTTTTTCGAGTATACATCAATACATGTGTACTAAAGTTGGAAAATGAGTTCATGGATCATTTGATATTTCTGCAAATATTCATGCATAATGAAGTGACGAGAGAGAATATGTGACTTCTTTATATTTTAGTGTATGAATATTTCTTGGTGAGATATTGTTGAAACGTCAATCCATCGAATATGAATACTGGCAGTGTAAGTATGTAGTCGACTGGTATTTTGTGACTGGACATTTGGGTCGTCTCATTTTTGTAGGACTCATCTTCTGGCTGCGAATGACCATGAGCACTGAGAAGGGAAGAGAGGGTGGTGTTGTTTTTAGAATGATTGCAATTTATTTTTCAATTGTACTCCCTTTTGATCTGATGAAAGGGCGGAATTAGATTTTGGTTCGATCAGTTTATATATTTCGTAACAGATTACATCAGCGTTGGGTCAACTAAATGCTATTGTTGTGTTGGAGGCGGTGGTCTGGTTTTCGATGTATGCTTGATGTATGCGTCGATGTGCATATGGTGTGTGTTATGGTCCGAGTCAACATTATCGCCACTCGCATCGTGTGGCGGAGGTCATAGTCATCAAACTTTATTTATGTGGGATGGAATGCAATCCACGCTCCGATCTAACAACAATCTTGAGATTTTCTGTTTCTCGTAAATAAACAACTCAGGTTAATAATTATTGGATGAAAATTTTAGAATTGTGAATAATTTCCCATATCGTTCCTCATTAACTGGAAAGTCCTAAATGTGTTCTAGCTGATTCAGTTGGGCACGAAATATATTGTATTTTTGTGGTGTGTGGGGGTTTATTGTCGAGCTGATTTCAGTTGCAGGCATACATGTATTGCTAAACAATAAACGATAGATTTTTTATTGGAATAAAACACACGTTATACTGCATGCATATGTAAATGAAAGGTTGGAAACGTTTTCTACTTGAACACGTTAAAACGATGCTATGCCATATTTTGTATTTACTATTGCATAATTCGACAAACACCGTATCGTGCGAAATTTAACAGGTCAAAGCCCGGTTGCATTACAAATATTGGCGTCACCGGTGCACAGTCACATGTACAATGAACATATGTGAACTCCATTATTACGGTGTAGGATGAAGGAAGAGGGGATAATTGGAGTGAATATAATTTAAATTGGACTGTAGAATTTGCATGACACTTTTTGGGCGGATGCACATTTCCAAAACTAAATTCCAGACATATGTACATGATATGGCTAGAGTGCAATAATAAGTTATTTTATATATTCATTTATTATTTTCATTGGCGGAAGTGAATCTTTGGTACGCGTGTATATTTTGACTATTTGTGAATGATACCCTAAATAAATTACTGCTTAATCAGTTTGCCTGGCTCCTCCTTTGTTCGTTCTGAATAGTGAATTTTAATCTTAACTATTAGTTTAGTATCCGAAGTACAAAGCAAAATATTTGTGGTTCCGTTAAAGTTCGTGTTTGTGTTTAGGCTGTAAAGGTTAAACACAAGGAGAAGGTTTCATGATTTCCGTCCGCAAGTCGTCGTGATGTCGAGTTTCGTGTGCACATCTTTGAACACGAGGGAATATAAAATTTATTAATCATGGTTTGGTGGTTGGTTAGTTTTCTCAATTATTTGTTAATGACTGCCACTCTTGATAATTAGTTGAGAATTCTGCTGAAGGGTATTTATGTTCTTCTGTGCCATCCAAACCATGTTCAGTGGTTTATGTTACTCAGTCGAGGTAACGAGTCGAGGTTTTGTACCTTGTTTTGTACAATGTTTTCTTGAGAAAATTGACAATTTTATATTTCTTATTACACAACAATTCATCGCCAGTATTATGCATAACACAGGACCAAGATATTAGAAGGTCACCAGTTATTTGTGAGCTGAGTTAATCCTCGTCTAATATGCATGCATACTATTTGGAATTTCCTTCCACTTGTGCAAGCGGCGGAAATACTTTCGGCGACCAAGAAAATAATACCAACAAAAAATATATAGTTGAGAGGATGCGGTTGAGGGTAACATATTTCAGTCTAACGAGAAATGTATATGAGAAGCTGTTGACGATTCATTAATAAAAGGCTAAATTCCTGATATGGCTGTGGGTTGTCTCCAACATTCATTTGACTACGCAGTGTTTGTGACAATCATTTGCATTTATAGCTTAGAATTTGTTTGAGGAATTTGAATTTTAGAACTGCAGCAGAAAACTCCAAGTTTTGTGCAAGTTATTTTCCAAAGTTTTGAAATCTGTTCGTCAGGAAGCAGCAGCAGACATGAGCACTCATAATATGCAGTCACTAACCTCTCATTCACTTGTGAAAATGAAAATGAGAGTCATTTGGCTCGACGGCCTGTGTTGCATTATGCCAAAGAATTTGCTATTTGGGAATTAGCATAAGCCATACCACGGACAGAAATAAGTCATCACCAGGTTTATGTTAACGCCGTCCATGTATTCAGTTCCCTGCTTATGTGGTGAGCATAATTCGTTGCTCTCCTAAATTGCAGTGTAGCTTCTGCTCAAGTTTGCACTATGACTCTAAGAAAATTATCATGCATTTAGTAGCTTGGCAGTTGGGAGCAGTTTAGAATAATTCATGATTGTGTCAGTTAGGTTACAAAATATATTTAGTTCATGGATATTGATTTCAAATATAAATGAGCTTAACTTTGTTTCTGACGACATTGGTGTTAAAAAAATTTCTGCCGAGTTTGTGATGTAACATTCCTTACCATACCTGTATACACAAGTTAGAAGAGGCATAAAACTTGCAATGCGAAGGTGTGAAGTGATCATCTCAGATATTGACTGAACCAATTTTAATTTGTTAAGCACAACATTGGGTTTTTCATACTGCCCACGGTTTGGCCTGTGATTGAATTTAAATAATAAGCTGAAAAATAATTTTTTAAGCGGTGTAATTTTTCAAAGTCTGCACGATTCAAAAAAATTAAAGTACATATGTAATTGAACATGCACATTGGTTCGATAAAAATCAGAGATGATCACTTCCGACCGAAGCCTTAGGTGTTAATATACCTGGCAATCCTTTTCTCAGCTGCAATGGGAATTGTTGTGCATACATAATGTTTGAGTAATTGTTTCTACAATTTGTCTTACAAATAGGTACATCATATTATTACTGCACTGCTAATAAATTACAAATAATGATGGGATGAATAGTTTTCTCATGTTGCGCACATATGCATCTCGGACCCAGACTATGACATCAATGGTGTTTGCGTGGTCACTTGGCGTGGGACGGCAAATCCACATTGGTTGATCATCATCATCATCATGAAGGCAAACTTAATTTTATTATCTTCTTAACTAATAGTTAAATTATCTTTCAACTGTACTTTACTTCAGGACGATGATGCTGACAGATATTAGTGAGTGCACGCCCTTGCCTTGCGATGTCATAATTTAACGTGACCCTTCAAACCTGAGCCCCCTTAAAGTTTAATGGAATCCTTAGTTTCGTTATTTTTTAGCTAATGAACCTCAAAATGTCATGAGCATTGATGGGAACGCTGTGTCTACTGATTGACTAATTGCTTCTTTTATTAAAACTTGGACGGTTGGGTTGTGTCATGTGTAAAAAGACGCCTCAAGTCTTACTTTATTTGGAGAGTGGTCATTGATAAGTAATTGGTTATTATTAGTTTGCGAACCTTGTGCAGCTTGGCTGTTGAATTTATTTAATAAAAGTGTCACGAGCCGCATGCGACTCTAAGTGTGGTTGGTTATGATTATCAGTAAACAATTGCAGTAGCGTGTCGTTAATTATTATCACATCATAAGATTGTGGTCATTAATTCCTATCAAAAATTACTGGATGTGATGCAAGAACAATTTGTGAAAAAATTCAATATTTCGTTGTACACTGCAGGTTGATGATGACGATAGTTCTGTTAGAGTAGATATTTATATACTCAAATACATACATGGGAAACTTCTGTTTTTGACGTTTCCGTGTTTCAAGACCAATAGTTCAGCTTCTGATGAGGTCAAGGTCGTGCATTATTCAATCAGAATTATATTATGACAATTGCACGAAAGTTCAAAACGTGTTGTTTGAAAGAATTTAGTTGTTTCGCATGCGAGCTACAGATTGTATGAGTTAAAATACTTGCTATTCTGATTTTGTCATTGGTAATCGTTCCCAGATTTTGAAAGACTAACACGTTTTATTGCTTGTTGCTTACCGTGCGCCAACCTTGTTTTCGTAGGTGGGTGGTTTTGCTGATAGTATTCGTGATTTTTTTTACCATATTTTCTTCAATGTCAAAACGATGGCAAATCAGAATATGAAAAATAATGTGCTGATCATCAATTTGATGCCTTTGCGTTTGTAAGATTCAGTTAAAAATGGTGTTGCAAGATATTAGGTTGGTGTCAAGACATCAGCGGATCCATAATTTTAAAACAACTCATCGTGGTGTAATATCTAGCAAATAACTCAGAGGAAGTATTAAATTGAATGTGTGCATGTATCATGTTTTGATTTGGGTTTATGTTTAAGCTCGTTTTAGAAATTATGCGAGGCGAAAAGCAGGTGTTTTAGGGATCTGACGATTATGATAATGTCAGTATGACGAGGAAAATTGATCAAAAGTCTTTGTACTTTTAAGCACCAAAGTAGGAATGAGTCGCTGATGAAGTCATTCCTTTGAGAGAGAGAGAGAGACAGCAGCAGAGTAGGAGTAAATATCATTTTTCATCGTAAAAGTTGTTATTCATGTAAATACATAAATAAACCCCTATGATAATATGTACACTATGGTATCAATGGCATGTATACTTCGGATGAGAATGACATTCGCATTTTCAGTTGAATCAGTTCTGTCATAATTATTTTGATTGCATGTTGTGGGGATGATTCTAGTATTAAGGAACTCGTCTATCCTTACTTCACCTTGATATTATTATATGGCAGCACCTTGCGAAAAACGAGAGTGAGTGAACTGATCATCCTCCTGGTCCTGCTCTGTCGTGGATGATGCCAAATGCCATGAAGCAGCCCACACAGTCTGGTTTGCAGTAATAATAATACTGATTTCATGAGAGGATGATGAGATAAGAGATTGTTGCTGGGCTGATTTTTTGCATAAAAACAAGTAATGTGTGCTAGTGCGGCTGCATTCGTTCGTTTCATGTATCGTTAACAGTGTGGACTTTTATGTGTATGAACTTTGAGTAAGGTGAGTAAGCATGTGCGGCTCAAGAGCTGTGCATAGCTGAAGGCATATCGCTGGTTTATTAGGATTGTAATGCGATTTTCGTCTTGTTAATAAGCAGGGGTTGGTTATATCACAAAGGCATTGTGGACATGAGGTGCTTTGGAGTGCATAGACCAAGCAAAAAATGATTTAGCGCAGTAAGTGTGATTATTGGCTGACGTCGTCTTATTGATCCTGCCTGGCTGGACTTGATGTGAAATCGGCCGACTACCTTAGTTTGGTTCACCGGCCTCGTGTTCTTCTCCCAATGTCATCCAACCCGTCTTAATAATGTTGAGCTATCTTTTTCCAGCTCTTCTCTGCTGTTACATCAAATGTGAGAATTGTAATAGAGAGTCAACGTTCAAAAGCATGGATGCATACATACTTACGAAGCTAACTGACTCACTCACTGACTTACCAATTAGAAATTGCGATGGGAAAGCATATTATACACATAGGTATGCGTGATGTATGTATCAGGTTATTTTTGTTGCTGTTGCTAACACTTATCGTCAGTGGGTTTTTTAATGAAGAATGGAGATGTGATGGTGGATTTGCGTGGTGGAATGAGCGTCGAAATGGTGCAAAAACAAAATAATTTCATTTCAAGTTGGGCTATTCCATTACCACGGAAAGATGTTCGAAAGGAACAATTTGTGTATATGTGGATTTGCTATGTCTGCTATGTCTGCGTGCATGTACGTACTTCGTACTCGACAACGGGCGAAGGTTTCATTAACTGCAATGGAACTTGACTCAAACTGATGCAATGCATATGCACACTTGCTTATTCTTTTTGGACTGCTCGGGAAGAAATCGAGTGGTGAAGTGAAATAAATGCTCGAGCGAGGCATGGTTGTAAACCAAACCATCTAATTTTAGGTAGATATTTTTGGCAATCCACCGACTCCGGGATTCGAACAAAAAGTTGTTGCTTCTATGCACCCTCCTGACATTGTCCCATGTTAATGCTAACTAAATGACGATGAGTTTGGTAGTTTTTTATACGGGAAATTTCCAACATCATGGATAGTAATAATAACCAGGAACAAATATGAAATAATCTCAGAAGTTGTGAAACTGTCGTTGTTCTAACCCGTTGTGCATGAACAATAATACAGAGAGATTTGGGTTTGTGGATTTCGAAATGACTATGTAAATGCGTCGATTTGACGCCAAAACTACAAAAGTTGTTGGAATAGAATGATTACGAATCGTGAAAGGAATTCTCGGAATTCAAGGTTGATTTGATTTTGTTGTTTCTAATACGAATTGGGATTGGATGGAACATGATTTTGTCAGGTTCATGAGAGCAAAAGCAGGCTCTGTGGTATGAATAAGTATTCTTGGAATAGTATGAGACTAGAAATGCAAAATATATATATAAAATAAATAGATCATGACTCATTGCATACTTTGAACTAAATTACTTTTGTGTTTTATATTATCAGCCTTATTAACAAAAATTTATTTTTTTGACTTACAGGATGCAAAATCAAGGCGCTCCGAGCTAAGACCAACACCTACATAAAAACTCCAGTTCGAGGTGAATAAAAATTATTAGTATTCTCTTATTAGTACTCTCCATCACAAACGTAGCTAATAATTGTGATGCTAAATTAAAGGGGAGGAGCCGGTGTTCGTTGTTACTGGGCGAAAGGAGGATGTGGCAGCAGCCAAACGTGAAATTCTGTCTGCTGCGGATCACTTTTCACAAATTCGGGCGTCTCGTAAAAGCGGTGCAGGGAGCGGTCCAGCTGCCCCTGCTCCTGTTCCAGGTCAAATCACACTCCAGGTTGCGGTTCCCTATCGCGTTGTGGGACTTGTGGTTGGGCCCAAAGGAGCAACTATTAAACGAATCCAGCAACAAACTCACACATACATTGTGACCCCATCCAGAGAAAAGGATCCCGTTTTTGAGGTCACCGGACTTCCAGACAATGTGCAAGTTGCGAAGCGAGAAATTGAAGGTAATTGTTTTGTTTTGTATTTTAGGCATATTACTTCTACTCGGCGACAAACAGATTTATCCAATCTCCCAAAAAACTGTTTTGTTTGTTTAATATTTAGTTTGAATATTGTGCAAAAAATGCCAAGATAATTTTTTTAATACACATATGTATTTTTGGCATATATTTAGCTCATATAGCGATCAGGACTGGAAGCTTCCCAATGGATCAAAACCCAATGTTGGATAGCGATCTCTCTCCGGTGGATATTCTTGCCAATCTGTACAAGAATGGAATTGGTTCCCTGGGGAACTTGGGACTGGAAGGATTAGGACTTGTAAGTCAGTTGGGTGCTATCAACTCACTCTCCAGCAGCTTGTCCTCCGTTACCGGAAATGGACATGGAGTTGGTGCTGCATTGGCTCAGAACGGAAACTCTGTTGGGTCAATTGGAAGCTCCAGCAGTGGGGGTGGCAGTCTCTCCTCTCTCAACAGCTTGAATGGTGGATTTTCTACCAAGGTAGGCATCGGAAATCATGGACAATCTGCTGATAATGGGTTTTTCGCCCATCAAGCACTATCCGACTTGACCTTCTCTCTTATGGATAATTCCTCGTCCACCGTCGTTGCAAATAATCAGACGAATGGATTTATGAGCTCAAGTCGCTCTGAGGACTCGTATTTGTTTGGCGGAAGCGGTCCCAACAGTATTGAAGAAGGGTCAAACTCTCAGACCAAGATCACGGATCACATGTATGCTCCAACAAACAACAGCGTGGGAAGTTCTCTGTGGGGAAGTTTCGACAGGTTCGTATTTATTTCCTGATTTACGCATACACGCATTTTGTAGTTTTCTACTGTGAAACTGTGAATAGCACCAATGAAACACATAAATAATTTCCAAGTCTATGGATTACAAATTTTGAAAAATTTGAAATCTGAACGGGTTGTAAAACTACTTATGGTTAGGGTCATAGTACAAACATTCCATTTATACTGACGTAACCTGTAAAACCTATGATCGTGGGGTCGACAACTTATTGATCTTATTGATCAATAGTTTTCTGCATATAAACTTAATCCGTGCCGTTTTTTCGTTTCCGCGTCAATTGGTCTTATGTGATTTTTTTCCTTTCCAGTGAGTTCCAGCACTCTTCACGAGACGAAGGACTCGGGGACTCGCCCACTCTGGAAACTGCGCTTGCCGCATCCAATCTAATTTCTCTACAATAGAATTTCAATTGAACTTACCTCACTAAATAGCACTGAAAAATGTATTCCCTCTTTTCAGCAGGTTGCGATCCCCATTTTTAAAACTTGAGAATGCATATATTTCTAGATTTCTTCATATTATTTTGCATTTACTTATATACTGTAATCCGATTCCGATATCCGATATTATTACGTAAGCATCTGGAACCAGAGATTAAGATTTTACGCTATGCATACAAACTCTGAGAGGATTTAACCAACTAGATACATAGGTTTAACTGACTAGCATAGTAATCATAGGAATAACTCTCTTCGCGTCTAATTATTATGTATTACATATACCCGGTAAACAAAGACTAGGTATTTATTCTATTCTTCGTAAGCAACGGAACAGCACAAGAAAGATAAAATGAATTTCATGATTATTAATTTTTTAACATTTGATGCATTATTACATTTTAATACCTAACAAATATACCTTAAAGGATAAGGCTAGATTTTTGATCATTATACAAATTATTTTTGAACCTATTACAAAACAGAACTGACTTCGTACATAAACTTAGATAATGAAATGACTTTGGGTATTTCAAATCATGAGAGGAGGATATATTTTTCATTTTTTGGGAATACGTTGAATTAAACTGAACAAGAAGTAGCGTAATATATCCCCCACAGCCCCAGGAATAAATAAATGGTAGACCAAATTATCTTGTGACATTTTGCATTTCCTCCTCCATTTGATTGAGACACAGAGGCCCAGTTCTTACTTTTGGGCAGCGAATTATATACACCACAAAGCGAGTGGGCATATTATTACCGAAATTATTATGAACTATTAAAATTATATTATATATTCAGAGCAGAAAATTATTTATGATAATATTTGTATTATGTTTATATTCTTAACAGTACCATTTTTACTTTGATTGCTTCGACGGAAAGAAGCGAAGAAGCATTATTTGCAATTTTACAACAAGATATATTATTTGTATTTCGTATGAAATGACTGTCTTATTTTTAGCTGGACTTTTGTTTAGTTACATATATTAAAACTTGAGCAGAATTAATGAACTTTCGGTATATAAGTTTTAATAGTATTATTCGTAGATCGTAAAAATCGAAATGGAACAACCACACCACTCAGAGGGGTTATTTTAATTAAGATGATGAATTTATTTTCTTAGCACTAAGTCTATTTATGATTTATAATTTTATTCAAATGTGAAATTGAGTACAGTAGATCCGAGAATGGGTTAGCGTTTATTTAATGAACTATCTATTATGAATTATTAATCAATTTGTAGCGATCAGCTCAGAAATATTAGAATTATACTTTCGACTGATGTTTAGATAACCTATCTACTTTCACCATTCAACTCAACCTCACCAATCAGGTGCGTACGAAAAATAATTGTAGTTTTAAGCTTTTTGTAGACTTGAGTAATTTGCGTAACAATGATTTCTTACCCTGCAATATATTGCTTCATTGGTTGTCTTGCGTTTATTTATTTGCTGGATCAAATCGTTAAATTGCCTTCTTCATTTCATCTGCATTTTCCATGCATTTACAGTCAATGGCTCCTCGTGCATCGTTCACCTGTGTAAAATGGACGTGGTATACACACTCCCCAAAAATAATTCATTGGTTTCCGACAACCTTGACATTAAAAAAATCATCGCATAATCCCACTGCATTTCTCCATGTCACATCATCAAGTTGTTTATTCATGTCGCACGTGTTGCATATTTATTACGTTGTATTTCCCAACTGACTACTACTGCTGCTAAAAGTTGGTGTAGTACACTTCCTCCAAGGTAACATAACTCGTAATGAGTGACGAACGAAAACGACCCATGCTCACCTCACTATAATAAACTCATCATCCCAACCCATTATTATACCCTAGTATTTTCAAAAACAAGACATGACATCATGACACATGAGTAATCTCATCAATAAAAATTATAATCAATAATCGTGGCACGTAATTTCTTCGCCGACCCCGGATCAATCAGGCAATTATGCAATGGAAATAAATTTGATCGTGACACTAGGTGGACACTACTTCTAAGGACAATATACCAATTCACAATAATTGCAAATTACTAAAAGACAATTAACCTGTTCTCATAATGAAGTGTTAATATTTTTTATCTGCATTGCAACACAACGCCGTGCATAAATTATACCGGGTGTACTTGTCTACGTACATATCGTTATCTTGTGAACAGTAGCAAAAAGGGAATTACTCACACTTTTTAGTTTCCTCAGACTTTGTAGGAACTCTGAGAAATGTGTCGGCAGGGAAGAGTACATAGAAAACCTCGTCTTCTTCATTCTTGTTTTATGGTGAAGGTGAGGTTTCTGGTGGATCTTGAGATAAATAAGCAACAACAATTATAGATTCTGGCCACTTGGCTAAGGGTCTCAAGTGAGCTCTGAAATCGATGCAAGCAAAATGAGACAGGCACATACATACGAAGCACACTTGCATTGGAGATGACTTATGTACATACACCTAATTGAAACAGCCATTTTATACGTAAACCTTGTAAATTCAATCCTTGATAGTTGGCAGTCTAGCTATACATATGAGGACCAATAAGAACATACCAGATCCACGAAAGTTTGAAAATCAGTGTGAATTTATCCTACCAAATATTAGTAAATTGCACTTGGCGAACTGCTACAACATGTTAAAACCGAAATGCCGTTGTCTGTCAAATCTTAATGCATGTAAGCACATGTTCGCTTGCTTTCAAAATTAATAATTTGTAATTGCAACTGCCTTCTAATTTTATGCTTAATCTGTTCACAACGACCTTAAAATTGTCGCATTCAGTTCTTTGGTATAAATTTGGTCCCTAAACAAATACAATAATTGGATCTCAAAAACTGATCAAAAATATATAGTACAGCTGAGCCAGTTAATTTTTCTGTTCTAAGATTTTCACCTTTTAACCTCATGATTTATGTATAAGTAGGACTGAGATTCGTATAATTTAAGTAATGAGTGATTGGTGGAGAAAATGCAACTAGTTTAAGTATCACACCACAAATACAACTAATAGACTGCTGAGTTTTTCCTATATAATTTTTGACCTCGTCTCAACCATTTGAAGAAAGGGCTTATACCCAACTGATAGTATTATTAATTTTAACCCATCCGTTTTTACGCAAGTGAGATACTTTAACCAAAGCAATCGTTTTTACTTTCTTGTGATTTTAATGAAATCCAGATAAATACAAACGTAGTTTAGGGGGATAATTACACATTTTAAGGATTTATGTTAAGTTTTGTTGACTAAACTTGTATCATAATATCAAGACTTGACGAGCAATTAACCAGACCTACTCATCTATGCATCACACCTCAAGCTCCAACTCCTGCAGTCCAGGCTTGACGTAAATAAACCAAGTAAATTTAAATAGTGAGAGTGACTTATCATACGAATTTGTAGGATGCCCCATTCATTAGAATTGAAAGTGTTTTAAAAATAAGCCAACATTTGTGCGCCAAGAATTTATATGCTCTACCGTACAAAAAAATACTTTATTCAATAAATCTGGCCGGTTTATACGATACCGAACTTATATGCAAATAGAGACTCTTCAATCCGAGCACTAAAAACGGCAAGCTTTTTCGAAGCCAACCACAAAGATAAAGAATGCAATAATATATATGTTGACCACGGCAGGTTTTCCCCAAAAAATTGCACCTACTCTTTCTGACTTTATAGAGTAATGCATAATACATAAACATATTAAGTATATCAGACGAGTGTAGACGATAAGGACACAAATTACAAGATGTACAGAGTTTTTTGAAAATTGTAGGCTAATTTGACGCGACTCACAACTACGGTTTATAAATACATAGTCTGGTTGGTGTTTTCACCTAATAAGGGTAAGAACATTTCAAATAAAGTTACATAAATACATATTTATTAGGCATACCGAATAGAAAGAATTTATAAATTGAACAAATTTTTTATTCCTATAGATTTGTATTTATTTTTTCACCATTTTTAAGTCCTAAACTCAATATACACATATGATACAGAGTAAAAGTCATTTAAAACATTGCTATTGTGTATCCAGATCGAAACTTTTACATAATGAAATTTTTAATTATCAGAGAAAGTTTCCAAAATCAGTGACGTAACAAATCTAATCAAGCGAGTAACATAAAAAAATGCAGCGATGGTGAAAGTTTAAAATTTGTCATCCACATTTCAATATAAATTATTATGCAAACTAAAAAATATGCTTCCACTTTTGTCTGTGTAGTAGTAAGTAAAAGTGAATAACAACCTAGTAAGTGATATCAATACTAACGTTAATACCATTAACTAACTAATCATCAACGCTGTGCAGTCACCATTTTACAAGTATTATTAATTAATACAAATACTATATGTTAGAGTTGGAATGGACCGATGCGGCTGATATTTCATTATTCACAATATTGATAATTATTAATTATTGATTAATTGGAAGTGGAGGTACTAACAAAGGATGTTTTCCGTGCTTTCGATTAATACTAGTATAATGGTGATTGAAAATTTAACCCAATTACTTAAACAGTTCTGACGACTTCAACAAGGAAATATTTATGGTCATACGCAACCAGTATTCCTTGCAACCAACAGACAAGCAACACAATTATAGTTGATTGATTTGATCAGTGACTATGTGCATATGTACTGAACTCTATTTATTATATTGTAGAGTTCAGTCGTGTGAGACAGCGTTGACTTTTGAGAAATCTTATACTCCAAATATTTACATTACTCTACTGGGAAATAAAAATATATGCAAGTTATTTTATTGGTAGACTCAATTCGAAGTATTTTAGGTAAAAAGTTTTAACATTTTGAAATATTTAACAGGGCTAAAAACACGGTGGAAAATACATAATAACTCGATTATTATATTTACATTACATCACAGCATTCAAATAGTGAAATAGATATTTTTGAACTTTCTACAAAGTTTAAATATTTAAAAAATGAGTATATTAGTGTGGGCGAAAGAAAGATATATTATTAATGGCGTGACATAATATAATGTTATCCCGACGAGAGAGCGAGAAAATTAATAGCATAATTTATGATCATCTACTTTATATTTATCGTATGTAGTTCTTATTTAGCTTTGTTACGTATATTAGATATTTTGGTTCCTCTCAGAGAATCTTAATTAATATGAAGGCAAACTTTATTTCTTGAAATCCGTTTATTTCTTCAGGGCGATAATTAAACAAAGACATTTAGTTAAATTACTGCAGGTTGACATATAGTCGAAACCACCGCATTATTGCTTACATTACCTAACATTGCATAATTGAAAGTTTGGAAGCGTCGGAGAATAAACTATGTATGCTAATTTGTTACTTTATTATGGTGGCGTGGCGTGGCGTGTTAGTGGCGTTGGTCATATTAATAACAATGATAAATTATATAGGTTGATATTTTATGTATTTTGGTCCAGAATTTTAAAATTTTTACAGCATCATACGGAATGAACATATAGTGCTATACGTTACTTAATTGTGATTTGTTGAATTTTTAATATTACTAAAAAATCCCGTAAAAACGTTTTTATCTACATTCATTATTATTGTTTTTGTTCGTAGTATTACATAAATATATTATTTTATAATTTGTAGCTCATTAATATTTTTGTTTTAATCTGTTTTTGTTGATTTACAATTAATCTGAATTAATAAAAGTGTGAAACTTTATTTTTTCTTTGTTTTGATTTGGTGTACATATTAATTTTTTTAACTTTACATTTTTTTGGTTTTAGGTTTGCATACATGAAGAAAGTTTGACAGTGCAAATAGCGTATGAATTGTAGACGTGGTACGTGGTCCGTAGTATTATGTAATTTACATAGAGTACTAAAAACGGGTGACATATGCATCTTGCAATTGCACTTTGAGCAAGGGAAATACAGGTACACTGTAGATTTCACGTGTTTAAAATAACTATACAATTCAATGGTTGAGAAGGATATATAAATATATAAAAATATCTATATCTTTATGTGCGTGGTAATTATACGTGTTCGTTTGTGGGTTATTAGGGTTGAATTCTCATCTCACTTGAATAATAATACTTGTAATCGTGTTTTTTTTTCACCTATAAAACAATCAGACTTTGATGATCTCCACTGGAGAAATATGCGATATACTTGTTGTTGGAATTTTCTGCAACATGGATGTGAGTTGAAAAGTTTAAATTAGCTTGATAGAATTGAAAACTAAATACCAAACACAGAATTTAATACGATCGTTTGTTTCAAGAATTTAACCCAGAGAAAATTTATAAAACAAACTAAAAATACCTGGTCTTTATTCCATACATAAATAGATGTGATAGAACTGATCCCTTGTAGAGTGGGATTTATTTGCAGCTTTAACCAAAGATTTATCTCGTTGTTTCTTACGTTTGTGCTACTACTTGAGATGACAGTGAGTGCGTGGGCGTGATTCTCTA